GTTCATTACATTGTGTACATTCGATGCAAAGTACTGGGACTTGAACTCAGAGCCTTACACTCTCTCTCCTTAAGAAGAATGGAAGAGGAGGAGGAGGAGGCTGGTGCTCTACTACTTGAGCCACATCTCTGTTTCTGGCTTTTTGATGGCTAATTGGGGATAAGAGTCTCATAGAAGTTGCTGTGCTGGCTGGCTTGAAATCAGGATCCTCAGATTCCGGCCCCTGAGCAGCTCAGATCCCAGGCGTGAGCCACTGGCAACCCCGATCTGGATGTCATTTAGTAATAATTTCACTTTGTGGTGGGGTTTTGCCCCACGGCTGCATTCTGGGTTGGAGGATGCCTGTCCTTACAGCAGCTCACTGGTGAAGGCAAGAGGTCTGGCTAACTCCAAAATGCTGAACTGGGGGGTATTTGCACACTAGGCTGTGAGCCCCGGCGGACACACCTGCCCACCCACTGCGTCTTGCCCTTGGCTTCACTCTCACCTTGCTGTAAGCTGTAGGTTTGGGTCGAATAAGGAAGCTTTGAAGCTTTGCCCTCCTCAGCCCTAGTCAGCTGGTCTCCTAAGCAGACTCTTTGCAGTGTGATGGTCACTGCCAAGCCGGGAGGTGGAGGACAGGACCCAGTGCACAAGGGTGTGGTCAGTGCTGTCTTAGGATTCCTCCAAACGCTCTAGATTGCTGCCCCATCTAGAAATGTCCTGTTTTGTCCCGCCATTTTCCTCACGTCAGATGCTCGAGATAGCTTTTTTTTATTATTAAACTTATATTTAAAGTTACTCTAAATTTAAAGTAGCTTTGCAAAGGGGCTTCAATCCAACATGTCCATTTATGAGTTAGATAAATCTTAGGGAACTTTGCTACAAATCCATTGGGGCCCGGGAATTCTTTGTGGAGAGATTCTCTATTTCCATTCCAATGTCGCTGTTTGTTTTAGGTCTGTTTCAATCCTTGTGGTTCAACTTTGGTAGCTTGAAGTTCTCTAGAAACACATCTCTTTCTATCATTTTTCTGGTTCACGTAAAAGTTTGTGAAGTATTCCACTTGTATTTGTTGAGATATCTTCTTTTTCATGACCAAGTTTCTTTATTTGGGTGATTTCTCATTTTGGTCTGGTTGACTACAGGCTTATCAATTTTATCTTTTCGAAAAACTAGACTTTTGTTTTGTTGATTCCTTATATAGTTCTTTCTGTCTCTAGTTCGTTGATTTCTGCTCTAATATTATTTCTTTCCACCTTCTGGCTTTGAGTCTGGCTTGATCTTGCTTTTCTAGTTACTTTTAAGGTGCCTCATTAGGGTATCAATCGGTGATCTCTTATTTTATTCACACCAGCGCTCATAGCTCTAAACTTTCTTCTTAACCTGCCTATATACATGGGCACATCTGAGGGAAGCTAGGAGGAGAACACAGAATCAGAAGGAAATGGGAAAAACACAACAGAGGGGCCCATCAGCTGCACTGGACATTGATGAAAATGAACTGAGCAACTCAAGGGCAGCGATGGGAGGGAGGGAAGGAGAGGGAAAGAGGAGCAGCTGACACTAAGCAAAAGGAAAGAAATGTGCATACCACCTGAGTCAGAAAAAATAGTTGTAATTCCAAAGTTTATAGAGTTCATAAGCTTTATAGACCATGGTAATAACAATGTGCCTTCGTGAAGGTTAAAATGTTTGTGACTTTAGCTAAGTATCATACCCCACAATACTGTGAAATTTATGTAATCACTTAATCTCAATCAAGAAAAAAAACTGCCTTTGCTGTGTCCCAGAGATGGCAGGCTGTATTTTCATTTTCATTGTATTTTACTCAAGTGGTTGGGCACCTGCCTACCAAGCATAAGGCCCTGGGTTCAAACCCAGAACCTCCAGAGGAAAAGTATAGAAACTTGTTGTGACTCCAGAGCCTCATTGTACTTTCCAGCACTGACACCTCCAGTCACTGGGTCTGCCGTTTTCCTGGGACTGAGCAGAGCAGAGGCCTGCCACCTTCCTCGTTGCTCATGTGGACATGTGGGCTGTGCTTTCTTGGACCACCATAGAGATCTGCTGTGTGCGGCTTCTGCATTAAGCCCTTGGCGATTTTATAGGAAACAAAAGACTAGAGCCCTTGCCCCCATAAAGTTTATTTTCTGTAGGGTAAGAAAGACAAGAGTAAAGGGTCAGAGACCAATAAACAGGAAAGAAAACAAGCTGGGAACAAGATAGGAGGTATGGCATGAGGCTCCAAAGATGCTTTGGAGAAACACTTGAGGGAGTTGCAGGAACAGCAGGTACTCAGGCCTTGAGCAGAGCGGAGCCTACGATATCTGAGGCAAAGCATGGAAGCCTTTGGCTCTGAGTACGGCAGAATCAGAGTGAGGTCACAATGTGTCCGGAAGGGCCATCGCTCGGCCGTTGCCGAGCAATAGGTAAAGTCACTTGAGGGCTTGACGTGGTCTGTGTGTTTAGACAAGGTCATCCTCAAGAAAATGAACGGGGCAGGGAGCGGGCTGCTGCTGTGACCACGTGGCTGGACCCCGAGGTGGGGCTGGAGTGGCCGCGTCCACCTCCACGCTGAAGCAGAGCGGCAGGGGCTCGCAGGCCAGCGGGGCAGAAAGCCACATCACGGGTGAGCCTGAGACACAGACAGGACAGGCCCCCTTTGCTAGAGTTCAGACCACAGGAGACCACAGTGGACCACAGGAGAGCCATGGCTGGACTGTCCGAAAAATGTGCTAGCAACCTCCGTCCATTTTTCTGTTATCAGCATGTCACACTACAGCTGCTGATAGTTATCAGCATTTTACCAAGCTTGTTTACAACCCAAGAGAAGTTTTCTGTGGTGTTTGTTTTTGTTTTTTTTGGCAGCACCAGGATCTGAACTCAGGCCCTTGCTCTTGCTAGGAAGGTACTCTACTGTTTGAGCCATAGCCCCAGCTCTTTCTGCTTTCACTATTTTTTTTGGCAGTGTGGGGCCTGAACTCTGGTCCTGGGTGCTGTCCCTCAGCTCTTCAGCTCAATGCCAGTGCTCTACCACTTGAGCCACAGCACCACTTCTGGCTGTTTCTGCTTATGTGGTGCTGAGGAAATCAAACCCAGGGCTTCATGCATGCAAGGCAAGCACTCTTCCCAGCCCTCACTATTTTTTTTTAAATAAGATTTTGCTTTTTGCCTACTCCAGCCTGGCCCACAGTCTTCTTATTTCTGCTTCCTCCCTAGCTGGGATGGCAGGCACTCGCCACCATGGCTGGTCTTGAACTCTTATCCTCCCAGTCTTAAGGATCTGGGATTTTGGCACGGGCCATAGTGCCCTGACTGAAACTGGATCTTTATACCTAGGAATATAACCTGTCTCTCCACTTGCAACAATCTTAGTAGACTAAATATAGATTTCTTATATGTCTTCTGCCTTCTGTGTGAATTCATCCCAGCCTATCCGTAGTGATCATTAATGTGATTATAAATTTTTCCACAGTTCACCTAACTAGTTATAGCTACTGTTTTTGTTAATGTACAGTATTGTACTTGTGCTATTGTATTGTACTTGTGTTTTCGGCTTCAATGGGACTTCTTTCTCCAAATGTCTTCCTAAGGTTTCTAGTTATTGTCATGGCCACAATGATAAACATATCTGCAGCGTTTTACTCTTTCTTCTTCACCAATGTAGACATTCCTTGTCCACTTCAAAGCTGGAGCTCCATCCATGACAGCGAGCTGCCCCCGCCCCTCCTGACTCTTAATACGTGAAAGTTCACCATTTGGACAGGTGTGGTGCCAGACAGCTGTAACCCCAGCATCCACAAGAGGCTGAGACAGGAGGATCATGAACGTGAGGCCAGCAGTAAAAATGTCTCAAGACTGAAATAGTGTGAGGCAGGTGGGAGAGGGTCTGCTGAATCCTCGGTGCAGACTGCTCATCTGAGGTTCCGGAGTTGGTGTGCTTCCTTCTTTACTGCTGGGACTGTTTTCTCCAGGGGTGGCTGATGGCTTTTGTCAGCCTTTTGGCCTGTTGAATCATGGCCTCTGCTAATGTAGAGCCGATCCTGGAAGCATTCAGAACAAACCCTGGCTGGCTCTGGTGAGCCCTTCAAATAGGTGTCAAAGTTGCTAGCTTTTACCTTAGCATTTGCACATTAATACTCATACGAGAGTGATTTCTATTTCTCTCCCTTGCACTGGTCTTGGGTAACATGATTGTCATTACATATGCCTCTTTTTGTGTACTGGAACAGTTTGACTAGTATCAAAATTGTGTTTCCTGAAGTCTCAACACAGCTTGCCCTGAGGGCCATCAATAGGTGCAGATGGAGCGGCTCCCTGACCCTGCACCCTGCCCCGGCCCCAGGCCTCTTGCAGGAGGCTAAGCTCTGGGGTGCCCTACCAGCTTTACCTCCCGGCTCATCTCCCAGCCCTGACTTTGGCACCCCTCACACACACACACAGACACACAGACACAGACACACACAGACACACACACAGACACACACACACTGCACCTTCTTCCCACATGTTCCTCAGCACCATGGACAGAGCCTCCTCAAAGCTTCCCTGGCTCAGCAGGGCAGAGCCCTAATGCAGGCCATTGCTCCCTTGGTCTCCCTAGTCCTCCCTCCTCCCCACCACAACAGACCTCTCTGCATTCACCAGAATTAAATACACGTGGATCTTGGGAGGTTGCTGGCCGCAGGGGCACTCGGCCAAGAGTGCTACAGCAGGGTCGTGTTATCTGGGCAAGCCACATGCAAACCACCTTCATTCCTGGCCTGCAGTGGAGGCTGTGCGCACCATGGGCCTCTGGGAACACGCTGTGCAAGCTGATGAGAGCTGAGGGTGTCCCCTCCCCAGGCGGCCCAGCCGGCAGGGCATGGCCCCCTGGGTAGCCTGGTTCTCCACACTGCCGAGTCTGACCTATAGTCAAACCGATGGGCTGTGTCTTGCTCTTCTGCCCCCACAGAGCTGCTCCTCCCCTGGACTTGTATTCATTATCAAAGGGATCCGTTTCCATCTGTTTCCCACAGGCTGCTGACGAGTGGGCTGAGAAGATGCCCAAAGACGCACCCCTCCAGTCTCCCCACGAAATGGGCTCCAGAGACCTCCTGGCACGTCTCCACAAGGCAGTGACAGCTCATTACCACACCTTCATCCAGGAGTTCGAGAACTTTGACACTCTTAAGTCCAACACGATCGCCAGAGATGAGTTCAGGTCCATCTGTGCTCGCCACATGCAGATCCTGACGGACGAGCAGGTAACCCACGCGAGCAGCGCTCTTGTTTTTCATTGTAATATAGAACGTTACAGCTACGTAAGTAAGGTCATGAGGACCTTTCTTGTCGAACAGTGCTACCACCAACCCTCCCCATTTTCTCCCACTTTCCCTCCCCTCAACTTCCATCCCCCCAAATTGTAAAGTTCATTTCCAATATGGTGTCTTGTGAGTTTCACTGTTGCAATGGTTCCTCCTTTGTCCTTTGTCTCACCATTTCTGTGATTTCCCCTTTCTACCCCCAAATCAGATAAACTTATATATAAGACAAAAGGTACAGGGGGTAAACGAGAAAAAAAAATAACCGCATTACAGTACATTGAAAATATCTGTAGTTCCTTAGCATCATTTTATAAGGTCATATGTACATAGCTGTTGAGCTATTGTGATCCTCTGCTAGAACTATCCTAGACATGTACTAATTATTATTTTTTTTTTGGGGGGGGGTCTGGTCATGGGGCCTGAACTCTGGGCCTGGGCGCTGTCCCTCAGCTCTTCAGCTCAAGGCTAGCGCTCTACCGCTTGAGCCACAGAGCCATTTCTGGCTTTTTTTTCTTTTTGCTTACATGGTGCTGAGGAATTGAACCCAGGGCCTCATGCATGCAAGGCAAGCGCTCTACCACTGAGCCACCTTCCCAGCCCCACATGTACTAATTATTACTGCAAGTTCTAAAGTTGAAAAATACTCTGATCTTCCTCCTAAAAAATGACTTGAAGCCAGAAACTGGCTCAACACCTATAATCCCAGCTACTCAGGAGTGAAGTCTGAAGATTGTGGTTTGAAGTAAACCCAAGTAAGAAAGTCACTGATTAAGCACCAAAAAGCCAGAAGTGATGCTGTGACTCAAGTGATAAGAGTGCTCACTCTGAACAATAAAGCTCAGAGGCAGTACCCAGGCCCTGAGTTCAAGCTCCAGGACCAGCACCAAAAAAAAAGAAAAAGAAAAAAGAAGAGAAAAAAATAAGACTCGAGAATATCAAGCCTCTTCCATGGAGACATGCCTGTATTAAATCACGCACGGGCACACCCGTGCATGCGCACACCCACATTATCCGCAGATGGGATGGGAGGCTGTGCAAGGCTGGACGGTGACCTGACTTAGATCACTCGCCGCGCACACCTTTCTCCTGGGCTGTTCCAGGTTGTGGTGGCTGGAGGTATTGAGGGACCTCCCAGGGGTCACTGCCAGTTGCGCTAGTGGAGAGTCAGACATGAGCCTGGGCTTTGGGAAGCGAGGATGGGGCCTGCGGGGGCTCGGTGCTGGGGCTGGGGCTCGGGCTGGGGCTGGGGCTTGGTGCTGGGGCTGGGGCTCTGGCTGGCTGCTGGATGATGCCGTGACCCGTCAGACAGCCGAGTCCTGAGCTGTTCTGCTCCCTAAGAGCGCTAACATGGTGGCAGCAGCCTACTAAAGACGCCTGGGTGGTTTGTTCCGTCCCGGCTGTGGAGGTCCCCACAACAGCCTGAGGCACAGCCCGGATGGAAACTCCCCGCTGGGTTCCCAGTGCGCACTGTGCATCTTGGGAGGCGCTTGTGAGATCAGTGGTGGCCAAGGGCTGCGTCACCCCATGAGCTGTCTGCAGACCTGGTATGCGGGGAGCCCTGGCTTCCCCAGCAGGGGCAAGCCAGGGTTTGAGTTGGATTTTCTCCCAAAATGTTTCTGCACACTGCAGCTCAGTCACTGTGTCTAATCACAGGTTTAATGGCCCTCAACTGCTCGCTGAGGGCCCAATTCGATTAAAACACGTCCTGCGGAAGCCATGAATAATCCTCATCTTGGCTTTCCCATCTTCCAGAAGCTTCCACCCAGCAGAAGCCAAATGGATTTTTACTTTATTTCCATTTTTTCTATTGAAATGTGCCCCTCCCCCATAATACTTGATTACAGCCACCTTCTCCTGCCCCAGCCCAACCTCTGCAGAGCCCTGGGCTGGGGGGCTCGGCTCATCCCTAGGCCCCTCTTCTGCTCACCAGTTTGACAGGCTCTGGGCAGAGATGCCTGTGAACTCCCGAGGAAAGCTCAAGTACCAGGACCTCCTGAGCCGGCTCAGCAGCTTGAGACCAGCCTCGCCCGCCTCCTCCGCCTCCCCCGCCACAGAGGACTCCACCGCCACCCAGCGGGGGAGCAGCACCCCCGAAATATCAGAAGACACGAGATGTGTCAGCTCCCCCAACCGAGACACGAAAACAGGGTCAAAGGGGAGGAGTCACCTCTGCGTGAGTCACTGACAGGGTGGGGTGGGGGGAGGCGCACACCTGCCCTGGGTGGATGATGGGACTCAGCACGGAAGCCAGCTTCCTGGGGGCTGTTCTGCAGAGGTGAGGTTGAGGAGGCACTGGGAGGGAGGGATGCGCTGGCTGCCAGAGCTGGATCCAGCCAGCACTCCCCACCCACAGCTGACCTGAGCGAGATGGGGTAGAAGCTCCCGTGCTGAGCACTGGGCTGAGCCGGCCCAGGCCGGGGTAGACGGCCAGTGCCCATGCTGGCCGAGGCATTTGCCATCTGTGCACAGGATGTCAGTGAGTGTGGGAGCGGCTGAGGGAGTGCACCCAGCGCAGCACAGCAGGCCTGGCTGGCCGGCCCAGCTCAACAAGCCCCAGACAGGGTCTGTGATGCATTCATTGAGTCACTATTTAGTGCACACCTACTGTGTGCTGGGCGTCTCTTTAAGATGACCCCCATTCTTGGGTGCTCCTGTTCTCACTGTCAATGAGAGGTGGTGAAGATGAGTTTAGTAAATTCAAAGGGCATCAACACCCACGCCCTCGCCCTGGCCCCTGTGACGGTGTCGCCCTCAGCGGCCAAGGCCACCTGCCCTGGGCCCACAGAGCTCAGAGAGCGATGCAGAGGCTTCATGGGAGAGTCGGGGGGGGGGGCGGCTGGTGAGTGTTAGATGAGATGCGAGGACTGCTGCTGTCCTGAAGCTGGAAGGAGCTACAAGCCAAGGAATGCACACACCACGCAGGCACACACGCACACATGCATGTGAACATGTTGTTTGTGCATAACACGTGCACACACCACACTACGCATGCCACCGGTGTGAACATGCCTCACGTGTGTGCACTCCACATGTACATGCATGTGCGATGTGTATCACATGTATGTGCTACAGTATATGTGTGCACACGTGCATACCACACATGTGCATGCACAGCACACATTGCACAGGTACATGTATCCCGCCTGTGCATACTAACACATGTATACACCACACATGCACACACTTGCAATACCACACCACACATGCATGTGGACACCATACATACATCACACATCATAAACACATTTGAACCATACCTATATATTTATTTCCAAAACCATTCTGATAATTACTGTTTGGCCCAAATCCACCCCACTGATAGATGTCAAATTTAAATTGTCAGATGACATGCTTTAGCTCTCATTTTACTTTGGAGCCAAAACTGCCTGTAGAACTGAGACCTCCACCTTGAGCCTCTTCCCCCTGAGCCTCTCCCCCTGAGCCTCTCCCCCTGAGCCTCCCCACTGGGCCTCCTGTAGTTTCATCACCTGCACTTTGGCTCACGTTGAGGAATTGCTTTGTTCCTCTCTGCCAGACCCCCGCATCGGGCAACCCGCCCCTGCAGAACTGTGAGTCCACTGAGACAAAGCTGCGGAAGCAGATCCACGGCTGCTGGCGTGAGCTCCTGCGGGAGTGCAAGGAGAGAGACGTGGACAAGCAGGGAAGCATCGCCGCACCCGACTTCCTTGGTCTGTCCCCGCTCCCTGCCACTCTGAGTGGAGCTTGAGGCTCTGGTACCCACGTGGCAAAGCCCACACTCCAGCCATCCCAACACTGAAGCCCCAGCTTGCTAGTGACCCCAGGAGACTGACACGTCAGGAGGAGGGAAGGGATGGGGCGGGACACAGCCTCTCATGGTGGAGAGGGGAAGGGTGCAGAGGGTGGCACAAATACCCCATCTCTGCTGTCAGCCCCGGCATCATGGGGCAGCACAGGCAGGAAGACCACGGCCCAGGCTGGCCCAGTCATAAAGTGAAACTCTGCTTTGAATTAACAATGCAAACAGGGGCTGGAGGCATGGACCAAGTAGTAGAACACCTACCTAGTAGTAGAGAGTCCTTGAGTTCAATCCCCAGTCCTGCCAAAGGGAGAAAAAAGTGCTTGGTCAGAGGATGGAGTCTGACCCAGCCCCAGCCTCCTCCCACTCCACTCCCCATCTCAAGTGTGGAACGGCTTCCCTCATGCCCCGGTCCCGCAGGCCGGCCTCAGCCCCAGCCCCGGACCACTGCCGTCGGCCCCAGTTCCTGCAGCACATCCACAGGAGATGGCTGTGGCTCTTGGGGCCAGGACCCTGGTTGCCTGGGACAGTGTGAGCCAGTGGGGCAGCCCCTCCTGACAGCACATAGTTTGCATACCTGCCATGAGCATGGGGCAAGCTGGGCCTGCAGGGGATGGCACCTGGGGAAGGAAGGAAGGAAGGAAGGAGCGGCTTGCCACCAACCACACTGTGGTTTCTGTCTTCAGCTCTCGTGGAGAAGTTCCACCTGAACATCAGCAAGGAGGAGAGCCAGAAGCTCCTGGTGAAGTATGACCTGAAGAACAATGGGCAGTTCGCGTACTGTGACTTCATCCAGAGCTGCGTGCTCCTGCTGAAGGCCAAGGAGACCTCGCTGATGCGCCGGCTGAAGATCCAGAACGCGAACAAGATGGTACGCACACACTTGCGCTCCGGGCACGCACCCACCCCCCTCAGCTCAGCCCCCGTGGGTTCCCCAGGCTTCCCGGCAAGGCGGCCATGGATCCCACTGCCTGGCCCAGCTTCACCACGAGCCAGGACTCAGCACCATCTCCCCACGCAGGCATTCTCCATTACCAAAGGCCGGTGTGGCAGGCGGCTGCCACTTGGGGCAGACAGCACAGGATCTGTGTCACCCCTGCACTGAGGCCAGACTTTAGGGACATGGAAATGGCCCAGAAACTTCTTTCCTCAGTGTCCTTCTGGAACCTTCAGAGCCTGGAGACCTAGGCTAGAAACAGGACCAGGGGCCTTCAGACTCATCCAAGGGGCAGACAGCTGCACATCGCAGCTTTTCCCAGAGCCCCGGGGATGGCGGGCAGCAGGGCAGGGTCACATGGCACCGGAGTCAGGAATCACCCTGCGGGAGCAGGGCCACCACAGCAACATTAACCTTAGCCCTGCCAGCACGCATCACCTTCGGAGACCAGCGGAGCCTGGTCTGCGTGGAGCAATGCCAGTAATCCATGGTTAATCCACGATGCGACCCGCAGTGTAATCCACGCTTAATCCACAGCTAATCCACAATATGATCCATAGTTAATCCACGGTGTAACCACATCTTTCCATGTGTTCCCGTGTGCTCCATGTACTCCTGTGTGCTCCTGTGTGTTCCCATTTACTCCTATGTTTCCATGTGCTCCTGTGTTCCATGTACTCTGTGTACCTGTGTGTCCCCATGTACTCCTATGTATCCTGTGTTCCCATGTATTTCATGTGCTCCAGGTGCTCCTGTGTGCTCCTGTGTGTCCCCATGTGCTCCATGTGCACCTGTGTGCTCCATGTGCTCTTGTGTGTTCCCATGTACTTCCATGTGCTCCATGCACTCAGTGCGCTCCATGTGCTCCATGTACTCAGTGCGCTCCATGTGCTCCATGTGCTCCATGTGCTCCATGTGCTCCATGTGCTCCATGTGCTCCATGTGCTCTTGTGTGTTCCCATGTACTTCCATGTGTTCCATGTACTCAGTGCGCTCCATGTGCTCCATGTGCTCCATGTGCTCCATGTGCTCCATGTGCTCCATGTGCTCCATGTGCTCTTGTGTGTTCCCATGTACTTCCATGTGTTCCATGTACTCAGTGCGCTCCATGTGCTTCATGTGCTCCGTGTGCTCCTGTCTGCTCTGTGTTCCATGTGCTCCTGTGAGCTCCTGTGTTCTCATGTACTCCCATGTGCTCCGTGTGCTCCATGTGCTCCCTGGTGCTTTGTGTGTGCTCTGTGCTCCCGTGTGCTCTGTGTGTTACATGTGCTCCATGTGCTCCCGTGTGCTCTGTGTGTTACATGTGCTCCATGTGCTCCATGTGTTCCATGTGCTCCGTGTGCTCCGTGTGCTCCATGTGTCCCGTGTGCTCCGTGTGCTCCGTGTGCTCCATGTGCTCCATGTGCTCCATGTGCTCTGTGTGCTCCATGTGATCTTGTGTGTTCCCATGTGCTCCTATGTATTCCATGTGCTCCCGTGTGCTCCCATGTGCTCCATGTGCTCCATGTGCTCCATGTGCTCCGTGTGCTCCGTGTGCTCCGTGTGCTCCATGTGTCCCGTGTGCTCCGTGTGCTCCGTGTGCTCCATGTGCTCCATGTGCTCCATGTGTCCCATGTGCTCCATGTGCTCCATGTGTCCCATGTGCTCCGTGTGCTCCGTGTGCTCCGTGTGCTCCGTGTGCTCCATGTGTCCCGTGTGCTCCGTGTGCTCCGTGTGCTCCGTGTGCTCCATGTGCTCCATGTGTCCCATGTGCTCCATGTGCTCCATGTGTCCCATGTGCTCCATGTGCTCCATGTGCTCCATGTGATCTTGTGTGTTCCCATGTGCTCCTATGTATTCCATGTGCTCCCATGTGCTCTGTGTGCGCGTGTGCGCCTGTGTGTGCCGTGTGCTCCGTGTGCTCGCGTCCCAGCATCTGTAGCAGTGCATCGGGCGGAAGTGAGCAGCATGCTCGTTGCTGTCACTGGCCAGGACAGACCCTGGGCGGGGCTGTGACTCTGGCTTGGCCAGGCGGGAGCTGTGCCTGGGCGCAGGCCAGGTTCACCAGGTCAGCCTCTCTTGCCCCATCTGGGAGCCAGAACTACTGGCCACGTACGCAGCGGAAAGCCACGGCAAGTGCGGGGTCCACAAGACCTCCTCCGCTTCCTGCCCGCCACGCGGGGGCTCCGCTGGGCACAGCTGTGGGCACAGCTGTGCTGGCTCGAGAGCACGTGCCTCTCCCACGCCCTCCCTGGGCAGAGCCACCCTGTCAGAGGCCTCCGGGGGCTGGGCGGGCGCTGTGGGCGGCCCTGGTGACAGGCGCGGCCTGCCTCCTGCTGTTCCTCGGGGGTGTCCTCACAGGTGTCCTGTCCGCTCGGCCCAGCCAGTGCCTGAGCCTCGCCACCTGCGCGTGGCTGCCGCATGCCCCTCGCGTCCCGGCCACACGGTTGGCTGTTTGGGAGCTCATCCCTATCTGGAAAGTGGCTTGGGCACCTGCTCCCCAAAGCTGGGGACGGGGCTATTTCTGTGAGGGGCACTATGTGAGGTAAAAGCAGAGAGCATTTTTTTTGGAGGGGGTCAGCCGTGGGGCCTGAACTCTGGGCCTGGGCGCTGTCCCTCAGCTCTTCAGCTCAAGGCTAGCACTCTACCACTTAAGCCACAGCACCACTTCCAGCTTTTGCTGCTTATGTGGTGCTGAGGAATTGAACCCAGGGCCTCATGCATGTGAGGCAAGCGCTCTACCACTGAGCCACCTTCCCAGCCCAGCTGACAGCAATTTAACTCTGCTAATTCCTTTTACGTAGTTCTGCGCCATGTTAAAAGAACACCCCCCCCCCCACGCATTCCACATTATTGCGTGCAGTTCACCTCTGTGGTGTTGGGTGTTGGTGTTGGGGTTGGCAGGTGTTGGGGCTAAATTGTGCTTACACCCGGTTTTCAATCTAATCATACCTAAATGAAATAATCGCAGCGGAGTGTACTGTCTAATCACCAGATATAATTACCACCCTGGCTATTTTTTTAAGCACTTTTCATTTTAATAACCTTTTAGAAGACCCAGGCAGAATCCCTCTTCCCCTCCAACTGCTCTGGAGTTGGCATTGGTCCTTAAGGTCCCCTGGGAGGGGCTGCGGCCCGTGTCAGAGCCTGGGGGCCCCCCTTCCAGCCTCCCAGCTGGGGAAGGGGTTGGTGTGGGAGAGGACGCACCCCAAATGGGGTTTGGTTTGTTGTTGTTTGGGGAGGGGCTATATTTTTTTACTTTTTCTAAATTTTCCTTTGGCAGTACTGGTGTTTGAAATAAAGGCTTCACACTCGCTAGACAGAGGCTCTTCCACTCACGCGCGCGCACACACACATGCACACACACACACACACACACACAGAGTACTGGAGCTTGAACTAAGGGCCTCACACTCTTGCTTAGCTTTTTCAGTCAAGGCTGGTGTTCTACCACTTGAGCCACACCTCCCCTTCCGGCTTTTTTTATACTGATTAACTGGAGATCGGGGTCTTTTTCTGCCCCACTGGCTTTGAACCGAGATCCTCAGATCTCAGCCTCCTGAGCAGCTAGGATGACAGGCAGTGGCAGTGTTTGTAACCTTCCCACCCAATGCACCTGGCACTGTGGCAGCCTGCGCATCTACCAGGAGCAGAGCCGGCAGGAGCAGAGCCGGCAGGAGCCGCTCCAAATCCCTCCCGCTCTCCTCCACAGAAAGAGCCGGGCGTCGACACTCCTTCCTTCTACAATGCCCTGCTGCGCATCCAGCCCAAGATCCTGCATTGCTGGCGGCCCATGCGGCGCTCCTTCAAGGCCTACGACGAGGGCGGCACTGGGCTGCTGAGTGTGACCGACTTCAAGAAGGTGAGCAGGGAGCCAGCGTCGCGCGCCGCCCCACGCAGGGAGCACTGCGTTCCGCTGGGGGGAGCACCTTCCTTCCCGCCCTCTCCTCCTCCCCACCCTGCCCTCTCCTCCTCCCCACCCTGCCCTCTCCTCCCTGGAACCCCCGGCTGTTGGGCGCACCTACCGCTGCTGGTGGATGCCAGCTCCTCCCTGAAGGCATCCAGGGGCTCCGGCTTGCACCCCTCTCCGCCCCCCCCCCCACACCACCGGAGCCCTGCCCCATGTTCCTTGGGCCCCCCCCAGCTGGCCTGGGCCATGCCACGCCCACCCAGGCTTCCGCCTTTACGCCTCACTGTGGGCCCAGAAGAGCATCCTCAGTGCAGCCTGCCAGTGCGCCCCAGCCCCGTGGCACACAGTAGGGCTGTGTCACCTAGGAAGCAAGTTCATGCGCACCGCCCGACCCCCCCACCCCCCGCGGCTCCTCTGGGTTCATGGTTTCCTTTACTCGGGGGTGGACAGCATCCCTGCTGGGGAGCCGCAGGCTGCACCCCGCTGGGCAGTATAGGCGCTGGGTCCCCTCCTCCCCTTCTGTAGCTTCTGAGCTAGGAGGCCAGGTGGGTGTGACGGGACCCATCTGGGCACTCAGGCCGTCTCTGCTCCCACTTTCAGCCTGGCCAGCTGGCCTCAGCCCCAGAGCACCATGGGATCTTCCAGCCCCAGGTTCTAGTTTCCTTTTAAAAACGAATCATGATTTTTGTGCTGGTCCTGGAGTTTGAACTCAGGACCCTGGGCACTGTCCCTGAGCTTTTTTGCTCAAGACTGGCACTTTACCACTTGAGCCACAGCTTTACTTCTGGCTTTTTACTGGTTAACTGAAGATGGGAGGCTCACAGATTCTCCTGCTGGAGCTGGCTTCAAACCAAAATCCTCAGATCTCAGCCTCCTGAGTAGTGAGGATTACAGGTGTGAGCCACTGAGGACCAGCTTTGAAACCAAGACATGAAGAAGAGAATTATGACCTAATCTTTACTCATTGCTGGAGTAGCTTGTGAAAATTTGTTCAGCAGCCCTGGGGCGGGGGGTGGGGGGGTGGGGGGGGGATACTAGTTCCTCCCCAGATAAGAGGACCCCAGGCTGGCACAGTGGCTGGGTGGTCATTACTACAGTTATATTTTTGCTCTACGGTTATATTTTTTACGGTTATATTTGCTGTCCTCAATGCCTGACTGGCTTCCTTCCCCAGTGCCGCCTCATGGTCCAAGGTGGCTGCTGGAGCCCCAGCATCATTACTACAATCCAGGCAGCAGAGAGGAAAGACATGGCCCCTTGCCTTTAGAGAAGGCATAGAAGTTCTGCATGATCTCATTTAGTTTTCAGGAGCCAGGCTGTCCTCATCAGTGAGAGGCTGACACAGGGTCCCCTTTAGCTGGACACAGCCTGGAAGGAAATCAGAGCTCCATCCCTTGGGAGCTAGGAGTGGGGGGGGGGGGTGAGGGGGGCCAGGGGTGATGCTGGAGGGTGAGGGACGGCCTCGGCCAACATGGCAGGGCCCTGTGACCCTGTGTCAGGGCGCCTCCAGGCCCAGCCCCAGCCCCCCTGTGCCTGGCCGGCTGCGCCAGAGGCCCCTCCACAAGACCCTGTGGAGGGGCCTCCCGTCCAGTGCTCTCAGCCTTGAGTGTGAAGGGCTGGGGCGGAGGTAGACCAACTCCTGCCCTCTGTCCTCTCTGGCTTCCCACCCAGGGTGCAGTATGATTTCCCTCAGGCCGTGTGTGGGCAGAGGCTCAGACAAGGGAGGGAGGGCGCGTGGGGGCGGGGCATGGTGGGTCAAGGGGTGGGGCCTTGGTGCCGGGGCGGGGCCTGCGCCCGAGGGGCGGGGCCTGGCGCAGGGCGGGGCCTAGCACGGGGCGGGGCCTGGGGCGGGGCGGGGCCTGGGGCGGGGCGGGGCCTGGCGCAGGGCGGGGCCTGGCGCAGGGCGGGGCCGTGCGGGGCGGGGCCGCGCGGGTGAAGGCCTTGCGTCCCCAGGTGCTGCGGCAGTACAGCATCAACCTGTCGGAGGAGGAGTTCTTCCACGTGCTCGAGTACTATGACAAGACGCTGTCCTCCAAGATCTCCTACAACGACTTCCTCCGGGCCTTCCTCCAGTAGGCGCCGGCTCTCCTGAACCCGAGCAGCCAGCCTGCCGCGCCCGAGCCCGCGGCCTGGCCGCCGGGCCTCCACCTCCGGCCTGCAGGCCCCCGCGGGGCGGCCCCTCACCCCGACACCGGCCCGGGTTCGAGCGGGTCGCTGCAGGAGCCACGGCAACGTGGAAAGAGCGACCAGTGATTAAATAGTTGAACCCTTGATTGGTGCCTGCAGCGTTGCACGCGCGCCGCGCCCCGCCTCCCGTTGCACGCGCGCCCCGGCCCCCGCCTCCCGTTACACGCGCGCCCCGGCCCCCGCCTCCCGTTACACGCGCGCCCCGGCCCCCGCCTCCCGTTGCACGCGCGCCCCGGCCCCCGCCTCCCGTTGCACGCGCGCCCCCCGCCCCCCGCCTCCCGTTACACGCGCGCCCCCGCCTCCCGTTACACGCCCGCAGCGCCCCGCCTCCCGTTACACGCCCGCCCCCGCCTCCCGTTACACGCGCGCCCCCGCCCCACCTGTTACACACCCGCCGCGCCCCGCCTCCCGTTACGCGCCCGCCCCCGTCTCCCGTTACACGTTCGTCGCGCCCCGGCCTCCATTACACACCCGCCGCGCCCCGCCTCCCGTTACACGCGCGCCCCGGCCCCCGCCTCCCGTTCGTTACACACCCGCAGCGCCCCGCCTCTGTTACACACCCGCCGCGCCCCGCCTCCCGTTACACGCCCGCCCCCGCCTCCCGTTACACGCCCGCCCCCACCTCCCGTTACACGCCCGCCCCCACCCGTTACACGCCCGCAGCGCCCCGCCTCCCGTTACACGCCCGCAGCGCCCCGCCTCCCGTTACACGCCCGCCCCCGCCTCCCGTTACACGCCCGCCCCCACCTCCCGTTACACGCCCGCAGCGCCCCGCCTCCCGTTACACGCCCGCAGCGCCCCGCCTCCCGTTACACGTTCGCCGCGCCCCGCCTCCCGTTACACACCTGCCGTGCTCCTCCCCCGTTACACACCTGCTCCCCATCCTCCTGGCCCGGACGCTGGAGCCCTGGCTCGGGGCCGCGGCCCAAGCCCTGGTTCGGCAGCCACAGGGGATGCGCCGCCGCCGGCCAGGCGGGCACCGCAGTGGCCCCAGGAAGCCGGGGAAGGAGCCCGGGCCCGACACCCGCCCCGGAGCACAGCTCAGCCAGGCGGGTCCTGATGTGCTCCGGCTCCCACACGTGTGCCTCAGGGCCGGTCCCAGGGCTGGCGGGACCCTGGGCCCCTGCCCTCCCGGGGTCCCTGTCCCAGGGCTGGCGGGGATCCTGGGCCCCTGCCCTCCCGGGGTCCCTGTCCCAGGGCTGGCGGGGATCCTGGGGCCCTGCCCTCCTGGGGTCCCTGTCCCAGGGCGGGGATCCTGGGGCCCTGCCCTCCCGGGGTCCCTGTCCCAGGGAGGGATCCTGGGGCCCTGCCCCTCCCGGGGTCCCTGCCCCCCACATGGCCACGAGGGAGACACGCGGATGTCACTTTCTTTTTACAAAGACTTTATTGTCTGACATGCTTGACAAACAAAAATCACAGCCACGATGGATGGAGTTCTGCAGAAGATGGAGGCGCAGGCCGCGCCCTGCACGCCTCAAAGACGCCACAAATTCTCTTCAAGGAACAGCTGCCTCCATAACTTCTTCACATAAAAATACACCATATTCTGAAGATGCCTTAGGAAAAAAGTTTTTAAGTTTATAGTTCCTGGTCCGCATAGAAATCAGAGGCGACACTAGCCCGCGCTCCACGCTGCGCGTCCGTCGGGGCAGGGTGGGGAGGGGGTAACCGGCCTGTGGGAGCCGCTGGGCCCAGCGCTCAGCTGTCCTGGCCAGCCCACAGCCTTGCCCAACCTCACCCAGCAGACAAGGATGGATCCTCCCAGAAGGTTGGGATGCCAGGCTCAGAGTTTGAGACTCTCCAGGGTAAAAGGGGCTCTTGGTGGGGAATGAGCCAGTGTTGAACAAGACCTTTCAACACCAAACGAGAGCCTCGGTCCACACACTGCTTTGTTGGGAGAGAAGTGTGGGTCACCAGAAAAGAGTTTTGATGCCAGAGACGGAGGTTCAAGTCCTGTCACTGCCCTTTTGGTGCTGTGCATCCTCAGGCAAGTTACCTCCCCCTCTGGCCTTGATTGCCTCATAATAAGGGGACAACAGTCCCTACCTTGCAGGACTGTCTGCAAATGAAACAAGATCCTGTGTGCACATGGCTGGAACCAAAGTGAGCAGCCTTCGTCTGAGGGCTGCACGAGGCCAGTGGGGTGCAAAGCCATCGTGGTGAGCCCAGAGGAGACCACGCGACGTAAAGTCATAAATCAGAACAGATGCGAGACAGAGTCCATGGCAGACACTTTAAACAAGGAGCAGCCTGACTCCGCGTCTCCAGCCCGGGCTCCGAGCGCGCGTCACCCTCAGAGGTGAGTCCACGGCCGCAGTCCTCCAAAGCCAAAACCAAGCTGCTGGAGCCCAGGGCATGTCGGGGGGGGGCGGGCGCGGGACGCTCTGGGGCTGCAGATGCCAGACAGGATCCCGGTCCGCAGAAGATGGCCACAGACCGGAGCCCCGTGGGAAGCGGGAATGAGAGGCACAGTGCACTTTGTCAAGGGGGTGCGTGCATGTGTGCATGTGTGCGTACACACGCCCCAGGTGCAGTTTCTGGGCCCCACAGGATGCATTGAGGAGAGCCAGGCTCGGGCCAACACCTCCTGCAGTGCTGTTGGTTCCCCGATGCCCCAGCGGCCACGGCCTCTGCTGCCAGCCCGCCTGGTCCTCGGGCCCAGCACGGCCGTCCTGCCAGGCTGGTGCAGCAGGCTCCAGCGGGCAGGGCTGGGCCAGGAGGTCAGGAGTTCCGGGGCGTGGGGAGGTCGATGACGATGGGCGGGTTCACGGGCTGGTAGTTCACAGTGCACACCGAGGCATTCACGTAGGTGGTGGTGCCGTCTGCCATGACCCCGTAGCCTGGAAGGGAAGCGGGGCTGTCGGCTGGGACCCTGGCATCGCCGGCCGTGCACCAGCCAACGCCCCTCCTCCTCTGTGAGCTGGAAGCCCAGTACAGGGAGGCCTCCGGCACCGTCCCCTGCACCCGCATCCCCTCCATCCCCTCCATCTCCTCCACCAGCCCCCCATCATCACCATCACCTCCATCCCCCTCCCCCCATCATCCCCATCCCCCCCATCATCACCGTCACCCCATGCACTGCCCCCACTCCAGTCCCCGTCACTGTAGGTCACTGCTGTGTGATGCCACCCTCCATCGTGATGACCACCTCGTGGTACTGTTGCCACCACTGCCACCACCACAGTCGTGACCATCCTCATGTGGCGCGCTCGCCCTGCCACACCTCCTCCCCCACCACTGCCTCACCCCTACTCCCCACGCTTTGGAGCCCATTCTGCGGGTGTGGCTGGGTGTTCGTACACACGTTCTGTGGGTGTGGCTGGGTGTGTGCACACGTTCTGCGGGTGTGGCTGGGTGTGTGTGCACACGTTCTGCAGGTGTGGCTGGGTGAGTGCACACGTTCTGCAGGTGTGGCTGGGTGTGTGTGCACACGTTCTGCAGGTGTGGCTGGGTGTATGTGCACACGTTCTGCAGGTGTGGCTGGGTGTGTGTGCACATGTTCTGCGGGTGTGGCTGGGTGTGAGTGCACACGTTCTGCAGGTGTGGCTGGGTGAGTGCACACATTCTGCAGGTGTGGCTGGGTGTGTGTGCACACGTTCTGCGGGTGTGGCTGGGTGTTCGTACACGTTCTGCGGGTGTGGCTGGGTGAGTGCACACGTTCTGCGGGTGTGGCTGGGTGTGTGTGCACACGTTCTGCGGGTGTGGCTGGGTGAGTGCACACGTTCTGCGGGTGTGGCTGGGTGTGTGTGCACACGTTCTGCGGGTGTGGCTGGGTGAGTGTGCATATGTTCTGCAGGTGTGGCTGGGTGTGTGTGCACACGTTCTGCGGGTGTGGCTGGGTGTGTGTGCACATGTTCTGCAGGTGTGGCTGGGTGAGTGCACACGTTCTGCAGGTGTGGCTGGGTGTGTGTGCACACGTTCTGCGGGTGTGGCTGGGTGTGTGTGCACACGTTCTGCGGGTGTGGCTGGGTGTTCGTACACACGTTCTGCGGGTGTGGCTGGGTGAGTGTGCACACGTTCTGCAGGTGTGGCTGTGTGTGTGTGCACACGTTCTGTGGGTGTGGCTGGGTGTGTGTGCACACGTTCTGCGGGTGTGGCTGGGTGTTCGTACACGTTCTGCGGGTGTGGCTGGGTGAGTGCACACGTTCTGCGGGTGTGGCTGGGTGTGTGTGCACACGTTCTGTGGGTGTGGCTGGGTGAGTGCACACGTTCTGCGGGTGTGGCTGGGTGTGTGTGCACATGTTCTGCAGGTGTGGCTGGGTGTGTGTGCACACGTTCTGCGGGTGTGGCTGGGTGTTCGTACACACGTTCTGTGGGTGTGGCTGGGTGTGTGTGCACACGTTCTGCGGGTGTGGCTGGGTGTTCGTACACACGTTCTGCGGGTGTGGCTGGGTGAGTGCACACGTTCTGCGGGTGTGGCTGGGTGTGTGTGCACGTTCTGCGGGTGTGGCTGGGTGTGTGTGCACACGTTCTGGGGTGTGGCTGGGTGTGTGTGCACACGTTCTGGGGTGTGGCTGGGTGTTCGTACACATGTTCTGCGGGTGTGGCTGGGTGAGTGCACACGTTCTGCAGGTGTGGCTGGGTGTGTGTGCACACGTTCTGCGGGTGTGGCTGGGTGTTCGTACACGTTCTGTGGGTGTGGCTAGGTGAGTGCACACGTTCTGCGGGTGTGGCTGGGTGAGTGCACACGTTCTGCAGGTGTGGCTGGGTGAGTGTGCACACGTTCTGCAGGTGTGGCTGGGTGTTCGTACACACGTTCTGTGGGTGTGGCTGGGTGAGTGCACATGTTCTGAAGGTGTGGCTGGGTGTGTGAGCTCACATTCTGCAGGTGTGGCTGGGTGCGTGTGCACATGTTCTTTGTGGCTGGGTGTGTGAGCTCACGTTCTGCAGTTATGTCTGGGTGTGTGTGCATAGGGTCTGCAGGTGTGGCTGGGTGTGTGCACACATTCTGCAGGTGTGGCTGGGTGTGCATTCATAGGTTCTGCAGGTGTGGCTGGGTGTGTGTGCACACGTTCTGCAGGTGTGGCTGGGTGTGTGTGCACAGGTTCTGCGGGTGTGGCTGGTTGTTCATGTACTCGTTCTGTGGGTGTGGCTGGGTAAGTGTGCACAGGTTCTGTGGGTGTGGCTGGGTGAGTGTGCATATGTTCTGCAGGTGTGGCTGTGTGTGTGTGCGCACGTTCTGCGGGTGTGGCTGGGTAGGTGTGCACACGTTCTGCAGGTGTGGCTGGGTGTGTGTGCACACGTTCTGCAGGTGTGGCTGGGTGTGTGTGCACAGGTTCTGGGGGTGTGGCTGGGTGTGTGTGCACAGGTTCTGGGGGTGTGGCTGGGTGTGTGTGCACAGGGGAGGACCAGAGAAGGTGGTGGCCAGTGATTGTCCACTCCCCGCTCTGGCCAGGCCTCTGCTTGCCCGTATGCTGCCTGGAAGCCCGTGAGCTCCCAGCGGCGGCGAGCTTGGATCAGGCCTTGGTTTCCCATCAATGAGGGCTTGGCAGGGGGAGCCGCGGGGGCCACCATCACCTCCTTCCCCTGGCCCAAGGCTCTGGGAGCCACAGGGCTCTGGAGCCCGGGCCCCGGGCCTCACTCCCTCACCTCCTCACCCCTTCAACCCGCACCCCTTTGCCCTGCATCCCCACAACCCCTCGCACTCCCGCACCCCGCACCCCCACGCAAGCAGCAGTGCCCCAGGACCCTGGAATTGCCTGGGGTACGCGGCCTTGTCCGCGGCTGCGGGGTACGAGGCGTAGGCCCCGCGGTGCCCCGCCGCTCACCTTCGTGGATGTGGCCAAAGACGTGCAGGCGTGGCTGGACGCGCCTCTGCACCGTGTTCAGCAGCTCCACGCAGCCCACGCGCTGCATCTTCTTGGGGACCCAGTCCAGGAAGCCTGCGTGGGGGGACGACAGACGGCGTGATGACGGGGGGAGGGGGGGCACGACCGAGCACCGGCCGCAATGACGGGGGAGGGGGGGGCACGACCAAGCACCGGCCGCAATGACGGGGGGGGGGTGGCCTCGACCGAGCACCGGCCGCAATGACGGGGGGGGGGGGGGCATGACCGAGCACCGGCCGCAATGACGGGGGGGGGGGGGGGGCATGACCGAGCACCGGCCGCAATGACGGGGGTAGGGGGACCATGACCGAGCACCGGCCGCAATGACGGGGGTGGGGGAGGGGGGGGGCATGACCGAGCACCGGCCACAATGACGGGGGGGGGGGGCACGACCGAGCACCGGCCGCAATGACGGGGGGGGGGGGGGGGAGGGGCACGACCGAGCACCGGCCGCAATGACGGGGGGGAGGGGCACGACCGAGCACCGGCCGCAATGACGGGGGGGGGGGGGGGGGGGGGCACGACCGAGCACCGGCCACAATGACGGGGGGGGGGGGAGGGGGGGGGGACCTCGACCGAGCACCGGCCGCAATGACGGGGCTTGAAGCCTGCAGATGGCGGTCCTGGGTCACAGGCCGCGAGGCCCTCCTGCAGCTGCCTGCTGAGCGCCAGGGGTAGGGTGGGGGGAAGGGAGGGGGCACAGCTGCAGGCACTGCCAGCCCCCCCCTACCCCCCCACCCCTCGCCAGCTCTGCCCCAGGGCTACAGAGGGCCTCATAGCCTGCCAGTGAGCCGGGCATTGGGGTGAGATGCTCAAATAACCACTGCACCCCATCCCTGCTGAGGGCCTGGGGTGGGGTGGGGCCAGGCTCCCCACACAGAGACACACACGCCACTGCCACCAAGGACCTGGCACCCCAAGACTGGAGGCAGAGCAAGCCGCACACACCCCGGAGCCAGAGCTCCCCTGGGAAACGTCCTAAGACAAGCAGCAGGAACTCATGAGGAGGATCTCCAGGTACCACAGGCGGCTCGCATGCCAGCCTCCACCCCACCAGTCTCACTCCACCAGCCTCCCGACCACCAGCCTCCATCCCACTGGCCTCCCTACCACCAGCCTCCACACCACCAGCCTTCTGACCACTGGCCTCCACACCACCAGCCTCCACAACACCGTCCTCCAGCGCACCAGCCTCCTGACCACCAGCCTCCCGACCAACAGCCTCCACACCACCAGCCTCCCGGACGACCCATATGGTGGCTGCCTGCTAGCCTCCCATGGCTACACAAATGAAAAACAATTTACTCCAGTGAACAATTAGCTTCCTCTCAGCCCCTCTCTGCCTGAGTAAGCAAAACAGGCGGGGTGTTCTCGTATGAGGAGGCCAGGACAGGGAGAGGGAGGGGAAGGAGGGGAGGAATGGCAGACACCACCCCAATGGCTAGGAGAGGCAGACACTGGGTTTAAGTCCACTCTTCACCCAGACGGTTAATAGTGAGTTGATCGCCCAGTGCCTGGGCCTCATCCACCCACTGACAGTGCTGTGCGGGCTGGGGCCTCGCACTGAGGCTGGCTGTCCTCACTCCACAGCATGTGGGTAAAATGGTGGCCCGCTGCTCAGCTGCCCTGGCTGATCCAGGTTGCAGAGGAAAGGGAAGGGAGCATGTGCAAGGGCGGGGAGGGACATCAGAGAGGAGGAGACAAAAGACAGTATGTCCAGAGGGAAGGGGAGAAGGGGAGATTGATGGAGGATGGTGGGTGGGTAGATGGAGGGATGGATAGAAGATGGAGGGAAGGAGGGATGGATGGGTGAGTGGATGGATGGATGGGAGGATGGGTGGATGGATGGATTGATGGGAGGATGGATGGATGGATGAGTGGATGGGAGGATGGATTGATGGATGGGTGGATTGATGGATGGATGAGTGATGGGTGGGTGGATGGATGAGAGGATGGGTGGGTGGGTGGGTGGATGGATGGATAAATGGATGGAGGATGGATGGATGAGTGGGTGGATGGATGGGTGGGTATATAGATGGATGGGTGAATGGGTGGGTGGATGGATAAGTGGGTGGATGGATGGGAGGAAGGATGAATGGATGGATGGATGGGTGAGTAGGTGAGTGGGTGGATGGATGGATAAATGGGTGGATGGATGGGAGGATAGATGGGTGGATGGATGGGTGGATGGGTGGGTGGATGGGTGGGTGGATTGATGGATGGATGGGTGGGTGGGTGGATGGACTGATGGATGGATGGGTGGATGGGTGGGTGGATAGGTAAATGGGTGAGTGGATGGATAGATGGGTGGAAGGGTGGATGGGTGAATGGGTGGATGAGTGGATGGGTGGGTGGATGGTGGATAGGTGGGTGAGTGGTGGGTGAATGGGTGGGTGGGTGGGTGGGTGGATGGATGGGTGGATGGGTATTGGAGTATGGACGAAGGATAGGTGGGTGCATAGACGCACATAGGAAGGATGGTTGAAGGGAAAGGAGAAAAGAAAAAGTGGTAAAGGAGAGGAGAGCAGGAAGGAGGGGGGAGGGGATTAAGTACCCCCAGTGCCAGCAGCTGGCTGACTGCAGGATCTGCTCGCTGGGTGGAGGGTTTGGGGGCCCAGCAGCCCAGCCTCACCGCTTCCCGGCTGTCAGGGCAGAGGAGACGGGGCAGGACTCGAGGGCAGGGAGAAGGCCACAGAGGACACTGGCGTGGACGAACAGGAAACCAGCAGGGGCAGAGAGGAGGGAGGAGCTGGAAGGCAGGTGATTCTTGGGATGGGGCAGCGGTGGAAGGGAAGCTAGAGAGGCCTCAGCCGGGGCCTGGGCGGGAAGCGGTGAGGAGTGAAGCTGGGCCGGCTCCACGCTGGAGGGGGCTGGAGGGGGCTGGAGGGGGCTGGAGGGGGCTGGAGGGGCTGGAGGGGGCTGGAGGGGGCTGGAAGGGGCTGGAGGGGGCTGGAGGGGGCTGGAGGGGGCCAGGCGGGGGCGGGGGGAGCAGAGGCTCTTACCCAGCGGTGGTCCGTGCGTGATCAAGACGTCCACGCCCTCGGGGATGAGGTTCCATTTCTCCAGCAGCGCCTGGCCCCTCGGGAGGTTGAAGCCCCAGCCATAAAACCAGGGCTGCCTGAGGGAGAAGAGCAGGCGTTTCAGGGGTGCTGGCAGCAGGCGGGGCCAAGGAGAAGCTCCGCCAAGGAGAAGCGAGGACTCTTAGACGGCTGACCAGCTGCCCGGAGGGGAGAGCTCAGACCAAGGGAGGGGAGAGCCCGGAGCCAGCGGCTGCTGGCCAGGCGTGGTGCCATCACGTACGCTATCACCATCACCATCACCAGCGGCATCTTCCTCACCTCCAACAGCATTGCCATGGCAGCCCCCTGACCCATGCCTGGACCTGTGCCTGGTCTCCCTGTGCCCTCTGGGGGCTGGGCCTGACCCATGCTGGGACCCAGGTCTCCCGGTGCCCTCTGGGGCTGGGGCACCCAGGGTGGGCAGCGCAGGGGAGACTCCAGTCAGAGGACACGGGAAAGGCGAGGCTGCTTCCGTCTCTGTCCCAGCTCGCTCATCCCATCCTGAGTGGCTGGGACAGTCCCTCCGCGGCCCGGCCTCCGCCAAGGCCCCCGGCTGTGCCCGGGGTCTGGAGCCCAGGCTGGGCACACTCGCGCTCTGCCGGCTGAGGGGGCGGGTGGGGTGCAGGGGTGGGGTGTGCCGTGAGGAAGCCACAGAGGCCTGGACTCTCGGGGTCCCCTGAAAGCCCAGCCCGGCCCTCTGATGAGAAAGGGGGGTGGCGGGTTTCCAGCGCTGACCTCAGAGCGCGGGCAATGTGTCTGGATGTCTCCCTTCTGGTCCTCCCTTCTGACTGCTGTGCCCACCACCCAGCACGGGAGTGGGGGGCTACCAGGACAGGCGGGGTCCCCCCTTTGGCACATCCCCGAGCTCCAGCTTGCATCTGGAATGGGGGAGCGGGTAGGGTTGAACCCCTCAGAGATACTTCCAGAAGAGGTTTCTGAGCCGCCCCAGGCTGGAGCTCTGCCACCCTTGTGGGTGCTGCCCACACCCGGCCTGCACCAACACCCAGGAGCCATAAAGATCCCAGGGCTGCCAACCCCGTGGCCGCCTGGATCCGAACCCGGCACCTGAGCAGGCTGTGCCTCTCTGCGGGTGGAGAACCGCTGCCTGCCTGCCCATTGGACAGGGCAGTCCGTCCATCCATGTGGCCAGCCCACAGCCAGTCCACGACCAATCCATGGCCAGTCCACAACCAGCCCAGGCCAGCCCACAGCCAGTCCACAGCCAGCCCAGGTCAGTCCACGGCCAATCCATGGCCAGCCCAGGCCAGTCCATGACCAATCCATGGCCAACCCACAGCCAGCCCACAGCCAATCCACGAATCCACGGCCAGCCCACGGCCAGTCCATGGCCAGCCCATGGCCAATCCACAGCCAGTCCACGTCCACTCCATGGCCAGCCCCTGGCCAATCCACAGCCAGTCCACAGCCAGCCCAGCCCCCCCCCCCCCCCCCCCCCCCGCCCAGCCCCAGGGGAGGGCGGTGAACGGGATTCTCGCTGAGCCACGCACACTAGACAGTTTGATGTCCTGAATCTCTGTCTTTCTGTTCGAAGGTAACCATTGGAATAATTTTCTTACAGAATGATAGTTGCCATGACAACCAGCGCAAATTTTCCTTTTCTGAAACAGATGTCTCATTTAGTTGAAAATTAGAATGTGAATAAACCCATGGGAAAGACGAATTCAAACTTCTCCAGCACACCGGCCTTGTAGCCCGTCTCCTGGCGCTTAACCCCTTACCCACCCGCCTCCCGTGCAACCGGGCTGAGCCCCACCCCGGCCTGCGCAGTTACCCCCCCCACACCTCCACCCCCACCCCCACCTCTGCGGCCTGTCTCCTCGGCCCCACCCTCCAGCCAAGAACCCTGCACCCCCCACGCCAGGAATGGGGGGGGAGGGGGTCTGGGCTCCAGTCCTGCGCTGGAGCAGGGGCCACACAGGGACTCGCCCCTCTTCCCCTGGCTTCCTTCCGGCCCCTCACGCAGCTCCGAAAGTTCTGGTGAGGTCCTGAGCCGGGCTGCAGCCAGCCCCGATCCCAGCACAGCCCCTGTGGCCCCAGGCCTCCACCACACAGGGCCCTGGGGTCCCCCCAGACGATCTCAGACAACCCCGACTCCCTCCAGTCCCCCGACAGCTACTGTTCCCGGAGCACAGCGCTGCCCACCGCCAGGCCTCCGCCCTGGGCTCCTGCCATCCGCAGCATCCTCCTCTCCGCGTCGTCCGCGGCCATTCTTCCCGCAGGCCTGGCTTGCCCGCTGTGGCCCGGTGACCACGCTTCCGCCACACTGCTCTTCCAAGGCAGAGCCAGGCACCCTACAGACAGGGGTGGGCCGCGGCGGGCTGCAGGTGGGGCTCGCTCTAGGGGTGTGTGGATGAAGGAGCAGCGGCTCTGGGCGGGTGTGGGGAGGGGCATCGCCATCCCCCGCCCCGTGCCATCCTGGCCCCAGAACCCACCATCACCGCAGGCTCCCGTCCGCTCGCCCTCCCGGGAGCCGTCCAGCGGGCTGCCCGGCGACGCGCAGGCCTCGCAGGCCGCCCCGCCTCCGCCCGGCAGGAAGGCCCGGCTGAGGGTCACCTCCGCTCTCCACACGGCCCCCCTTCAGGGAAGGCCTGGGACTCTGCGGCAGCCCTCCCGCACCCCGCCGCCCTTGGGGGCACAGACGAACGCACGCCTCCTCTGCGGGCTGTTCTGCCCTCTGCCCTCCCTCCTGCGCCGGCTCTGCCCGCAGTGGGGGCTCACGAGGGACAGAGACACGGTGTCACCTCCAGCCGGCGGCTCTGGATGCTCGGCAGCCCCTGCCGTCCCAGCCCCCCGCCTCCTGGACCCCCCACGACCTCTCCCTGCCGGCTCCCTTCAGGGCCTCCAGCGCCCGTGAGCCTGCGCCCCAGGCCCCGGCACGGAAGCCACGGCCGGCCTCTCCCGCACACTCAGGTCTGCGCCCGGGATAGGCGGCACCGTGAGGACCAGCCTATCCCAATCCTGCCACCAGGGCCTCGGCCTCCATCCCGGGCCGGGCCTCGGCCGCCTCCTCGGGGCCAGGGCCTCGGCCTCCTCCCCCAGGGCGGGGCCTCTGCATCAGGGTGAGGGGGCGTGGCGTCAAGGGAGGGCGTGGCATCAAGGGAAGGGGCGAGGCACCAGGGTAAGGGGCGTGGCACCAGGGAGAGGCGTGGCTTCAAGGTGAGGAGCGGCTCAGGACGAGGGGTGCGGGTCAGGGGCGTGGCATCAAGGTGAGGGGCGTGGCATCCGGGTGAAGGGCAGCAGGGTGAGGGGCAGGGTGTCATGGTTGAGCAGAGGGCGTGGCATCAAGGTGAAGGGAGTGGCATCAGGGTGGGGCACGGCATCAGGGCGAGGGTCGGGGCGTTAGGTTGAGAGGTGTAGCGTCATGGTTGAGGGGGCGTGGTGTCAGGTTAAGGGGGCAGGGCGTTAGGGTGAGGGGGCGGGACCTCAGGGTGAGGGGCGGGGCCTCAGGGTGAGGGTGGGCTGTCAGGGGCGTGGCGTCAGGGTAAGGGGGCGTGGCGACAGGGCGAGGGGCGGGGCGTCATGGGGGGGGGGCTTCAGGACCGCTGGTGTTCTGAGCCCTCCTCACCCTCCCGGTCCCCCCATGTTGGGGCGGGCGCTGGTGGCCCGGGGTCCCCTCTGGGGCCCCAGGCTCTGGGCTCAGGGCAGAAGGGCTGGGCCCCGGGCGGAGAGGGAGGAGGGCGCCGCTGGCCGGCGGGTCAACGCCCGTCCAGCAAGCGAAGGACCCAGACTTCAAACCCAGTACTGCAACCAAAGAGAGAAAGAACAAAGAGGGCTCAGCCGCCCGAGCTGGGCTGCACCAAACCAGGCTGGGGCGTCCGGGTCCACCTCCCCCACCCGAGCGAAACTCAGATCACAGCCCCTCCATGGCCCGGCTACGAAAACCTGACCTGTTTCTGAAGATTTAAAATGCTTAAAAGTAGCCTGGTGCTGGCGCTCCCACATGTAACCCCAGCTGCCCAGGAAGCCGAGGGCAGAGGGGAAGCCAGCCTGGCAGGACAATCCAACTCACTCACTCTCTTTCTTTCTTTCTTTCTTTCTTTCTTTCTTTCTTTCTTTCTTTCTTTCTTTCTTTCTTTTTCTTTTTTCTTCCTGGTACTGGGGAGCGAACCCAAAACGTTGCACTTGCTAGGCAAGCACTTTGCCACTGAGCTACATCCCAGCCCTGAGTCAATTTCTTCAAAACAACAAAACAGCCAAAAGCTGAGCTGGAAGTATGGCTCAAGTAGTAGAGCACCAGCCATGAGTAAGCAAGCTGAGAGTTCAAGCCCTGGAACCAGAAAAAAAAAACACCCACCTCAGAACCCCCACCCAGCCCCCCCCCCCCCCCCGCCCCAGGGCCCCACCTTGGACACCCCCCTGCCCTGGGACCCCCCAACCCCAGGACCCCCACCCTGGGTCCTCCCCCCACTCCGGGACCCACCCCCCCCAAGGCAGATCACAGGCCGCCATTCCTTTGGAAGGCGCTAGGAGGTGAGAAAGAGCCAGGCGCGCCACACTTCTCGCACTACCCCCTGTTAAAGAGGTATCTCTTGGGGTGCCCTGCTGTGTGAAGGCCCGGGCATCCCCCCTCCCCAGCCCCTGTTAAAGAGGTATCTCTTGGGGTGCCCTGCTGTGTGAAGGCCAGGGCATCCCCCCTCCCCAGCCCGGCTCCCTCTCCGGGGGCCTTCCCTCCTGGGGCTCAGTGGCCTCATCTCTGAAGTGGGAATGAGGGTCTCAAGGATTCAAGCGGCTGCAGCGCGGCCTGGGCGCCCCCGGGAGCCTCTCAGCATCGGCAGACAGCCCATGCTCTGCAGAAGGCGACCTGGAGTTCTCTGCCCAAGCAATGACAGACCCGGTGAGCGTGCGAGGAGGGGCCGAGGCCGGTACCTGGTACCCAGTCCCTTCCACACTCCGCTGCTTCACTAACTGGCTATGTAGATACCACCTTTATTCTCAGCCCTGGACACTCCCAGGAGCCAGCCTCAGGCCTATTCCCCGAGGACAAGGGGCCAGTCTGTCATTGCACAAAAGCCAGGGTGCTGGCCACCCGTGGTCCATG